ATAAATATATAAAATGCATAGGTTATATTAACTTTCCCCTTTTGACATACCATAGAGAATGTCAAGGTATTTTGTTCATTGCTACAGTAAATTACTAAAGTCAGTTTTGTTTGACCTTCAGGTCTTATGTGCTGGTTATCATAAGCAGGGAAATATCAAAATAAAGCAAAGCCCATGTGACAGTTTTAATTTCAAGATTGAATTCCAAGCAAAGATATTAAACAAGACCAAAAACAAAGTCATGTGTTACCAAAAGTTTCTATCCAATAAATATAGATTTTCTTAGGAAATACAGAAATATATTGACTAAAATTTTGTATTCATATTAAAAATATGGGACAAACTAGATTGACAGATTATATCGCTTTTTCAAAACATGTTCAACTCAATGAAACCAACATAGTAAAAATAAAGAGGTTTATTAAGTTTAAGGTTAAGAAGTTTTATTAAATAAGCTTTAAGCTTTTAGTGTATATATATAATATATGTATTACATATATTAAAAATGTTAGGTGACTATTTTAAAAATATATTTGCAACCTATATATATATTTTAAATACATTGCTTTAAGTCTACTTTTCATGATTTATTAGTTTTTTTTAAACATTATCATCTAATTAAAAACGTTAGGTGACTATTTTAAAACTATATTTGCATCCATTATATATATATGTACAATACTATATAGTAGTATATATACTATACTATACAGTATATATACTATACAGAATGTATAATAATGTATAGTATACTATACAGTATACTATACATATAGTATATATATATATTGTATATATAGTCTATATACAATATATACATATTGTACATATATACAATATATGATATATACTATATGCTATATATAGTATGTGTACTATATGCTATATAGTATATATGGTATACTATATACAGTATATACCATATACTATATATACTGTGTACATATATACTATATACTATATACTATATATATACTTGTATATCTCTCCAATGGCTGCAAATATATTTTTAAAATAGTCACCTAACAGTTTTAGATGATTATGTTAAAAAAAACTCTGATAAATCATGAAAAGTAGACTTAAAGCCAGACTAGTTTTCTGAAAACAACCAACTAAAATTTAATTGACACCAAGAAAATCCTAAACTACAATCACTCAAAAATCTTAGAGGTTGAATAAAAATTTTTGTTCTCAGTTCAAATTAAATGATACAAGAGAGTCTTCAATAAATAGAAATAGAGTATTTCAAATGTTGTGATATGTGGTCAAAACCATGATACAAAATCCCTAAACATACATCCTTATATTAATAAATTTGTGACTTAGTGAAACTAATTATTAAATAAAACAGTTATTAGAATAACAACATTAATAATTTATTACTAATTATTAATTAGAAACTAAAACTTTAAGAATAAAGAAATAGAATCGTTACATAAAACAAAGCGTTAGCTATTGCAAATAAGTCAATATTTTAAAATTCTACATTTGATAGAAGAAAAAATAAATTATAGCCACCCTGTTGTACTAGCAAATAATGGATCTTATTCATTCTTTCTAACTTTTCTAATTGTACATTTTAAAAATAAAAACATATAATTGGATTGTTTGCAACACAAAGGATAAATAGTTGAGGTAATGGATACCCCATTTACCCTGATGTGATTATTACTAACTGCATGCCTGTGTCAAAATATCTCATGTAACCCATAAATATATGCACCTACTATGTACTCACAAAAATTAAAAATACAAACAAAAATTTTAAAAAAGTATTTAAAAAGAAAAATAGTGAAAACGTAATATTCACAAGTGTCAAAAATAAAATCAGAAAAAGTTAAAAAATGTAAAATTTTATTATGCACACAAAAGACTAGTTTGGAGCCAGGAAATATCAAACCAAAAGTGGCAAGAGGAAGCTCAGAGGTATGCCATTGCAGGCTGGTTTATAAAACAAAAATGAAGAGCTGGTTTAACCTTTGTAATGATTGGTTACTACAGTGGTGGTTTTCAGATGGCAGAGGATGATTGGTTGAAAATAGTCATTGCATACCACGTTTGGAAGGCAACTTAAGTTTCATTTATGATTATTAGGGGCATTATGTGAATAATTTTGAATTGCATAACTTTGATACAAAATGTCAGTATTTCTCATAAAGGAGTTCATGGACTACTGATTTTTCCGAGGAGAGAGAGAAAAAAAAGAAAAAGAGGAGAGAGAAAAAGAGAGAGTAAGAAAGTGAAAATGAAAAAAAAAGAGATTATTATTATTTTTTTTTTAATTTCATGGCCAGAGAGGTTTGTGATGTGTGGGATAAACAAAATTAAAAAGTGTTTTCTGTCTGCGGAATTTGTCATGACCTATGATTATGTTCCAAAATTTCTCCAATTTTTCAGCCTCCCGAATTCCTTATTAATCCTTCTCCCAAAGTAGACCTCATGAGTTACATACAGAAAAGGTCATCATTAATTCTTCTCTGTTTCTAAATTGCTTGTGGCTTCTTTCATCCGTTTTCCTTTTCCTGGCTTCTTCCTGAATTTCACGTAAGTCTTTTTGAAACTAAAGTCCATTCAAAGCCCAAGTTAAATAGTATTCTCCCTTCACTTTGCTCTATTTCTCTCTTTTTTTCCTCCTACTCTCTTGCTTTTTCAATATTTTGCATTGTCTCATCTTCAATTTTACCTTTACAGTGACCTTTTATCTTTATGTACAAAAAATTTAAGTATCATTCAACTTTACTGTCTTTATGTCATCACCATCTTTTTTATCACTGAACTCTTCCACAGGATATCCATGCGTGCGGCTTTCATTTATTTATCACCTATTCACTCTTAACAACATAGTTTATAATTTAATTTACAAAAATGATTTCATTTTAATGGACAAAAATCACTCTCTCCTTATCATTCTTCATGAGATCAGCATGGACTCTGGGGCATATTGATTAGTATTGAAAACACAACTCTGAGACCATGGACAAGTTAGCCTGTATAATACTTAGGTTCCTTCTATTTGAAATCTCTTTCTCTCATATTATTATTTGATCAAAGACAGATGTAAACATCCTCGGTAAAGAGAATATCTCAAACTATTTTACTTTAATCACTCTGTACTTCCTCATTTCTGAACTTTATTTTTGATTGTGAGCATTTGAGATTCCCTTCCAACATCACAATTCTGTCATTTTATTTTTTAATGTATTAGACTATCTTAACCAGTGTTATCTACTGGCAAATTAGAAGTCTAAACAAGTCATGGAGTATAGAAAGCAGGGAGAAACCCATTAAACCCAATGAGCGGCTTTAAGGAGAACAGAGAGAATGTAGATAGCCTGAAAAGAGGTAGAAGTAAATTGTGTCAGGGCCAAAATAGAGTGCTATCCAGACAGGCATGGTAGAAACCAGATAATGGGAAATAAACCAGAAAAATATGGTCCAAGAGCTATGCTAAATTTTACTGATGACCAAAAAACAAACAAACAAAAATTACAATTAAATATCCTGCTAGAGGTGAAATGAAGAATAACAAGAGTTTAAATGCAGAAAGCCATGGGAACCAAAAGAAGGAACAAAAAGCTGTATTTGGAGACTTAAGAAGAATTCCTTGATAAAATGGAGTCCAAGCTCACCATCAAATGGCCTTTCTCTTAAAAGAGAGAGTACGTAAAATTCTTTTGTAAGAAATGAGAATATGGCCTTGTGAAAATTTTGTATTTGAGGCATACGGGTGTTAAGTGAGAGAGGAAGCAAAGGAGACAGGTTAAATCAATTGGCACAAGGTCATAATGGGCCCTGTGAGCCACGTTAATACACTTGGATTTATCTATCAGCAAAGAGATGACAGTTAAATCCCTCTATTTTTATTCACATGTAAGTCATGGAAAATCTTGGGCCAAAATAGAAGTTTATAATTCTTATGAATTAAATGAAAGATCAGGCCATCTTATTTTCTGATGTTCATACCAGAAAACCTAAAAGTGTAGCTCTTTGGACAGCTAGAAAAACCCATGATTGATAATACTACTAATTCTGCACCATAATATTAAAACAAGAATTCTGACACAAAGTGAAATGTCTGCTCTTTTCATGTTTTGTAATAATGACACAGTGCATCTCAATAAACAAAAAAAAAAAAAAAAAGAAAAAGAAAAAAGAAAAGAAAGAAAGAAAAGCAACTGTTAGAGGTAGTTATTTCAGGCTAAATATTATCAACCAGTCTCAAATTCCATTATGAGCACTGTAAAATACAGAATAAACTGTTTTCCCCTTTACACTGAATTTTAATAACTATCTCATATCTGTATTTTCAACTCCTTCCCTAGATACCTTACTATAGCCTTTTAAAGTTTGAAAATGTTTTCTTAAATATGTCCGTCTCTGAAATTTCATATCAATACTTTTTGATGAATGGAATTAAGTCCATTTTTTTCCTAGATGCATTTTTAAAAAAAAAATAACTGTCATAGTTATAAACACCTGTGTTTTTTGGCAGTGACCCAAAAATGCCAAGGGAGGTATACAAAATGCTGAGCAAATATTATGATTATATTAATACTATTTTGTATCTATTTTATTTTATTCACAAATAACATGCTACAATTTCTATGTTTATTGGCATTCTTTGTTTGTTCCTTTCTTTAACTGTTTGTCTATGTATTCAACCGTTGCACAGTTACCCATTCCTGATCTCATAACTGTAATCATTGTTAAACACAGAGTAATGCAGTATGATGATAATTTCCTAACTTTAAATTTCCTGGCTTGCTGCATTTCCTTTTATGTTTAAGAACAATAGTATTTTGCTTAATTCAGTGCTTCCATTTAAAGAGTTAGAAAAACTGAGACATGTGTAATCTAGTCTTTTGAGGAATTCGAACTCAACCTACTTCAAAAATAGCCACTGACTGAGGTCTGTGTGGAGAACCTAATTGGTATGAGTGAAGCACAAAAGGAGATAGCAGCTAAATTCGTATGCAAGAGTCAGGATAAGAGGTATGACACTCACAGTGAAAGCAGAAAACAGCAAGCCAACAGTTCAGGACTAGTCATTCAAATGGACTAAAGGTCAGTTCCTTTTGTCTACCTTTCTTACAGAGTTACTGAGAGGTGGGAGATGGAAGAAATAAATTTTTCATGAAATATACTACTGCCTGAGGAAAAGAAAAAAATTATGTCTATTCCATTGTGTATACCTAGAGCAAAGTGTAAGGCTCGTGGAGTACAAAATGTCATAGGCAAAGCTTGACTCTTTTTTCCATCATACAGTAGGGTGAATGAAGCTTGTCAGTGACTAATATTGCATCAACTTCTTGTGATCATAAATAAACCTGGATTATAAAGAAACATGAGAAAATATCTATCTAAGTCCAGGAAATGATTCAGAATTCCCTATATGAAGTAAAATCTAGGATGTTTTAATACTCAAGGAAATAACCAGATGTCTGTTTTAATGCTTAGAAAGTTTATCATTGTCTAATTTCTTCTATAAGATAGATAATTAAATTTGAATTTATAAGATATAAATAGATGATATTTCAAAGAAGCTAATCAATAAATGTGTTCCTCACTTGCTGACCATACTCTAAGCAATTTCTGTGGGTCTGATTGTGATTTCTATGTTCCTCTTAGGTGGGGGAGAATAAATAAGGGTGGATAAAAGAAAGAAAGAAAACAGAGAAAGGTGGTGAAAAAAACAAAGGAAGGGAGAGAGAAAAGAAAAAGAGGAAGAGAAGGAAGGGGAAAAACAAGACTGACTTTACAATATGAGATACGCTATTATATATTGGTAAGCAATTGGAAAAATAAATATGTATAAATATAATGGATTAATTATATTTTAAACAATTACATTTAAATGTTACATTTAAAATTTTAGAATTATTAATCTGGCATAACTGTATATTTCTAGGTGTTATTTAAATAAACATAAATTTGTTCCAATTAACTTTTGTGATAGGTTACTCTACATTGACTCCTATCTTACATACCCATTTAACATTTTTTAGGCTTTTTTTTATCCTAATATAAATGAACTCTTCTGTGAGTTGCTAGATTTTCTCAAATATTAAACATTTTTATTCTTTTTGTTTTTTCCTTCTATCTCTTCCCTCTTAGCTCCTTCTTACTTTGTAAATAATTTTTCTTCTTCATTCTTCTTTATTCTTTTACTTAATTATTTTTCTGTCTTTCTTATTTTCTTTCTTTCTTCTGATTACATGCAAAAGTGTACTTCTAGATCACCAAATGGGATTTCAAATTTTCCAATTGGAGGTCTTGGTAGGATTTTTGCTTACAGGTTTTTTAGGCAATAATCTATATTAACAAAATGAAAAAGAGGTAAAATGATTAAATGTCTACATAATTGCAGATAATTAAATAGATAAATGAAGTTAATAGAAAAATAATTTGAAATAAAGAGCAGGTAAATTAAACATCACCTGTGTTTTACTAATTGCTATTGATGTTATTACCTAAAAAAGATAAGGAGCTGTAAACTTTGTTATTTTAGGGAGAACAATTGTGACGAATATAGGACACAGCTCTGTCATCCGAATTTGAATCCTTATTTTTTTTTTCCTTTTTAAATTAAACACAGTGTCTTGCTGTGTTTCCCAGGCTGGACTCAAACTCCTGCGCTCAGGCTCCTGTCTTAGCCTCTCTAGTAGCTAGGACTACAGGTGTTCACCACTGTACCCAGCTTGTGGATTTAAATCTTAGTTGAAGGAATTGCTTTAAGGATATAAGGTTAGGTTCTGTTTCAGGTAAATTTGGCAATCTTACCATGACAACGACAAACAAATATCCTGAGTTGGAAGTAGGGAAAAAGTTACAATCAATAAATATCAAATTATTACAATTAAAACAAGCACATGGTATCAAATTACAACAACTTTGATGCACTGTCAACCTTGTACCAGCTAGGAATGCAAAGGTACAGTTTCTGCATCTTCTATAGCACTTGAGTTAGACATTCCCCTAAGAACTTTCTATACATGTATTCAGTCCATTTAATTGCAATGAATGAAGTCTGAAGAAAATTACCTCAGTCTTAGAGCATAACTTACTTTGCACATAAAGAGAAGTTATGAAGTACCTGAATATGTGACATCGAAGGTGAGAAGCTCATTTTTACCACCATTTCCACATTTCAAAATAGGTAATCACAATTGAAGCTCCCACTTTCCACTTTGTGTCATGTGTACATCTCACCCATTCTGGCTTCTAGCTGATGGATCTATAGGGAACACATTATGAAATATAAAATTGGATGCAGTTTTCCTATGAAATTATACTTTTACTTCTATATAGAAAAAATAAATATGATGTGTGTAGTACTCTTATCCCACTTGTGCTGAGCAACTAATGTGAAAAATCTCAAGCATACGAAATTGGTTAAATCCGTGATTTGGTAGTTTTCTTTTAATGTTTCTCTACCTCTAAAGTATTTTTTACTAGCTATATTCTTGATAATTTAAAAGTAGGTATTAGGACTTTCTAAAAAAGATAGTCTTCTAAGAGTTTCTGTGGGTTAGAAACTTTTTTTTTTTTTTTTTTTTTATTTTTCTTGAAAAAATATTAAACAATTTATCTCATAGAGTATTCTTGATAATTTAAAAGTAGGTATTAGGACTTTCTAAAAAAGATAGTCTTCTAAGAGTTTCTGTGGGTTAGAAACTTTTTTTTTTTTTGCTTTCTGATAATTCTTGAAAAAATATTAAACAATTTATCTCATAGAGTACTTTTAGGAAACTAAAATGTTATGATTTTTATTTTTAAGGAAATGATTATATTAGTAACTTTATTGATTAGACTACCATATAGCCTCTATGAGTCTATTACCTACATGAATACAAGGATCCTGTCTCCTTCTCTGTATCTCAGATCCACTGACAGCACCTGGCATAGAGTAGGGGCATCCATTCATAGAACACAAGAATACAGTGGTACTCTACCTGTTTATATGTTTTCCTTTGTACACTTAATTTTGTGAGTGAGTTCATGAAATGTAACCTTTCATTCTCTTGTGTGTCTGTGTTGCTGGGAGACCCAGGTTATTGACTACAATTTGTTTTTGTTCTGAATAGAGCTGCAGAAACCAAATCCAACAACTTTTGGCAAGGAAGCTTCCTTTCATCACGCACCTCCCTCCCTTGGGACTTGTAGAGTCTTCTCTTCTTGGAAGGCCTACGCATTTGCAATTCTCTACACCTACTGTAGTCCCATGAGAAATATGTTATTTTCCCAAATTTCAACAAAGAAGTTGGAATGACATTTTATTTACTGACATTGACATTATTTTGCACTTCTTCCAACTCTCAAGAAAATAAGAACCACTTGATGGTAGCAATACCACTATCACTGCTGCTTCTGTGAATAATTATTTACAATAATTAACACAACTTAATCTGACTTTATCTAACATATCTTATTTTTAGCTTTTGAATACAATATTTACTTGGATTTATCTGAGTAATTATTTGAAAAAATATCCTCAGTTTGAAACATGGCTTATTGACTCCAGATATGTCATCATCAGAACTAACTCATGGCACTTTATTCTTAACCTTTCAATATTTCAGTTTTATTATAAAAGTAATAGTCAGTTTTGCTATGATACGTAATGGTACTTTTTATTAACAAATTACTGTACACATGTGCTGCTAAAGCTCTGCAACCCTAATTTATTTAGAACCTCTTTTTTCTTTCTCTCATGCTACAGAGGTTAAAAACGTTACTGATACACTGGGTTTCCCTAGTGAATACTCAAAACATTTTTAAAATCTTATTTAAAAATTATAGCATCATCCTGTATAATTTCTTTACTAATGTACATATATCCCCAATCCCTACACCAGGAATTGGCAAATATTTTCTGTCAAGGACTAGATAGTAAATATCTTAGACTTGCAGGACATACAATCTCTGCCACAACTACAACTCAGCCTTTGGAGCCTGGAAACAGCTACAAACAGTACATAAACAGATGATCATGGTTGTTTATTACTGTTTCTGGACACTTGTATTAGTTTGCTAGCGCTGCCATAACAAAATACCATACACTGTGTGGTGTAAACACAGAATTTATTTTCTCCCAGTTTTGGAGGCTGGAAGTCCAAAATCAAGGTGTCAGCAGCAGGGTAGGTTTCTTCTGGGGCTTCTCTCCTTGGCTGTCAGGTGTGACTGCTTTTACTGTCCGCCCTCACATGGTGTCTCCTTTATGTCCACGCATCTGTGGTGGCATCTATTTGTGTGTCCTGATTTTTTATTATAAAGACATCAGTCAGATTGGATTAGGGCCCATTCTAAGGCTTCATTTTAACTTAATCACCTTTGAAAGTCCTTTCTGCAAATACAGGCACATTCTATGGTACGGGGATTTAGAGCTTCAACATATAAATTTCGGAGACACACACATTCAGCTCCGAACAACACTGATATTTGTTACCACTTAATTTGATGCAGACCTATACCAATTACATGCACACCTTCTCCTTATGAAGATATTAATATGGTATTATAGAATCACAAAGCTGTATCTGCTTTAAATATTTACTACTTTTTATATAGAATGATATACTTTTCAAGACATTGGCCATAAGATTGTCACATTCTTTCCATTTATATATTTTTTTATCATGTTGTGCTATAAGGATCCAACAATAATTAAAACATGATATCGGTTTTCTAAGTAGGAGAAACACCCACAAAGATATGTACTTTAATATTATAGTGCAAATATAGATCTATAAAATGTTAAGATGCACACCAGAAACATACAAACTGTAGGTCAGATCTGTGGAAAGTTGACTGAAGAGGTAACATTGGAGAAAAACTTTAAAATAAAAAGCATTCTGGTTCATCGTGACAAAATGTACACACACTTTCATGTCTCTTTCCACTAAAATTTCATGAGAAATAAAAAATAAAAATGTGATTAAACCTGTATTGAAAATATAAGAGGGGTGCTATAATTCCAAGGCAAAAAATATTCTCTGGAAGATACAATGCAAATGCCTGAGAAAGCTACAACTCCAAGCCAAGAAAGCCGTGAAAAATGTAATGGCAAACTAAAAGACATTTTTGAAAGAAATGAAAGAAGACATAAATAAACAAAAGACATCCCACATTCAAAAATCATGAGAGACTTCATTATTTAGATGACAATATTCTCCAAATTGATGTATACATTTAACATAATCCCTGTCAAAATCCTAGCTAGCCTTTTTTTTGGCAGGAATTGATAAGCTGATCTGACAATATGTATGTACAATGGATTCAAAATAGTCAAAGAAATCTTGAAAAGGAGCAATGTTAGAAACTGACAATTCCCAATTCCAAAGTTTATCACAAAGCTACTGCTATCAACACAACATGATATTGGAATAAAGGTAGATGTATAGATCAATGGAATGAAATTGAGAGTCCAGAAATTAATTAATTAATTAGATCATTAATGTAAGTAATTAGATTAATGATTAATTGATTTTCACAAGCATGCCAAGATAATTCAATGAGAAAGGAATGGTGCATGGACACCTGAATAACCATGTGCAACACAATAATGTTGACATGTTCTTTACATCCTGTAAAAAAAAAAATTCTAAATGGATCATAGATGTAATTGTAAGAGCTAAAACTCTAAAACTCCTACAAGAATAAATAGGAGTAAATCATTATGATTTTGGTTTAGGGGATATTTTATACTACACCAAAAGCATAAGTGACTATGGGTAAACAGATCATTGTACTTCATCAACATTTAAAAGTTAAGGCCACCATCAGGAAAGTGAAAAGACTAGGCATGCAATACGAGAAAACATTTGCAAATAATAGTGTATCAGATAAGGAGCTTGTGACCAGAATATATAAAGAATTCTCAAAACTAAATATTAAAAATTAAAAATAAATTTGCCTGATTTCAAAGGGAACAAGAATGTAAAGGATGTATTTCAACAGTTTTATTGATATATAATTACATACTCTACAATTAACCCAAAGTATACAACTCAATAGTTTTTAATATATACACAGTTACGTGCAAGCATTATACAATTTTATAACATTTTCACCACATCAAAATAAAACCCTGTAACCTTAGCTATTAGCTCCTAATCCTCTACCGTTCCTCAAGGTATGTATATTCTTAACAAACAAAAAACGTAAGTAAGCTGCTCTTAGTAATTTTATTACGTTATTCAAATTTTGAATTTATTCAGGTATGTAAATATATATGTATGTATATATAAAAATAATATTAAACTGATATATATAAAAATAAAACATAACATCCAAATGGCATTATTTGGAATCAATATTTTGAAATATAATAACATAAAATTCTTAAAAAAAAGAATGAACTTTGTTATGTTGATTGGAAATGTAAACATAAAGGCAGAATTATTTTAACTAAAATATATTTCCTAGAGTTGTTTATTGATATGTGCAAGAACAATGGTACCTCTACAGCAATGAACAAACTGGGACCTAGGTGATTTTTTTAAATCTAATTTCAAATTTATTTTAGATTTAGGGAGTACATGTGAAGACTTGTGACATGAATGTATGGCATGATGTTGAGGTTTGGGGTACAAATTCTGTCATCCAGGTAGAGAGCATAGTACCTAATCGGTACTTTTTCAACCTACACCCCTCTCTCTCTCTCCCTTCTCTAGTATTCTGCTGTAACTATTGTTACCATCTTTTTGTCCATGTGTACTCAAAGTTTAGCTCCCACTTGTAAGTTAGAACATGTGGTATTTGGTTTTCTATTGCTGAGTTTGATTTTATTTGACTCTCAGCCTGAACATCATTAATGTATACCAATGCTACTGATTTTTCTATGTTGATTTTGTATCCTGAAACATTACTGAAGTCATTTATCAGTTTTAGGAGCCTTTTGGCGGAGTTTTTAGAGTTTTACGAGTATAGGATTATACTGTCAATGAAGAGAGAAAATGTTATTTCAGTATTTTTATATTTGATAATGTGAATACAGGATAATGTACCTTTTAAAAATAGATGCATGCTAAAGAATTAGTGATGAAATATTATGATGTCAGTAATATTTTTCAAATCATTTTCTAACAAGTTCCAAGTAAATAGTAAGTTACATATGTAATTGCTATGCTATTTATCTCTGTACCTGTATGTATATATTTGTATGTAACACTACAGAAAAAAATACATAAGACATGGTAAATGTTAATAACTATTAAATATTACATTTACTATATTATTCTTTCTATGATTATTGCTTGCCATTTTGCATAATAAATATTTTTGAGCAGATATTGGCAATTTAGTAAGTCATAAGAACAGCCATACAATTTTTTTAAAACAGAAATGAAACATAGCACTTATTTATATTGCAGTGAATCTAGCATTAATGATAAAAAGAGTAGAAATTTATTAATTAAAATACAATTTTTATATAAGAGATGCTTTCAACAGAGCAACATTTTAAAGTGTTATTAAAGTTTTTCAAAGTATGGATACTCACTGGAAATGTTTCTTACTCCAAGAGTCAACTGAGGTAGTAAACAAAGCAAGTGGCTACATAAGGAAGTAGGAAGTTAGACCAAATTATATTTTCTGACAACATGGCATGAAAATGCTTGTAAAAGATTGTGGACACTCGCCTTTTCTTTCCACCTTTGTTCTATTATTTTTAAACTGTAAATCTTATCATCTTTCCTGAAAAATATAATATTAAAGTATTAAATCTTATTTGTTGCTTTAAAAAGTGAATGGGCTGTTTTATTAAAAAGACACATACTGTTTTAAGAACTTCTGCACCGCAAAAGAAACTGTCATCAGAGTGAGCAGTTAACCCAGAGAATGGGAGAAAATTTTTGCAATCTATTCAACTGACAAAGAACTAATATCCAGAATCTACAAAGATCTTAATCAAATTTAAAAGAAAAGAAACAAACAACCCCATCAAAAAGTGGGCGAAGGATATGAACAGACACTTTTCAAATGATGACTTTATGCCACCAACAAACATATGAAAAAATTTCTTCATCACTGGTTATTAGAGAAATGAAAATCAAAACCACAGTGAGATATCACCTCATGCCAGTTAGAATGGCAATCATTAAAATCTCAGGAAACAACAAATGCTGGAGAGGATGTGGAGAAATAGGAACACTTTTACAATGTTGGTGGGAGTGTCAATTAGTTTAACCATTGTGGAAGACAGTGTGGCGATTCCTCAAGGATCTAGAACCAGAAATACCATTTGACTCAACAATCAATACCCAATACACTGGGTATACACCCAAAGGATTATAAATCATTTTACTATAAAGACATATGCACATGTATGTTTATTGTGGTACTATTCACAGTAGCAAAGACTTGGTGGCAACCCAAATGTCCATCAATG